CCCCAAAACCCCAAAACCCCAAAACCCCAAAACCCCAAAACCCCTGGTTAAGGAATCTATCTTAGATTTATAATTTTGGTTTAATTTATATGGTATAAAGAATATATTAGACTAAATGATAGAGTCTAAGTCCTGGAGATCTTGACTCTTAGTGAGAACCTGAGCTTAAAGTGCATCATGCATAGCTCATAGAATTCAACATCGAAATTCTTGACCTTTTTGATTACTTTGCCTTTCTCTAAGATCTTGCTCATCATCTCAAGGTATTTACATATGACTAAGAAATAGGTGTAGTTTCTACTACTAGATGATTTGCTTCTTGTGAGCGACCAAGTAGCAAGAAGGATGGATACAAAAGTATTCAACTTATCATGATGAGCTGATAATTTCCTCAATCTCTCCATTGCGAATTTGTATCCGCACCCCAATACAGCAAGTAAAGCTCATAAGGACAGGTTCTTTCTGCCAAAGATCTTCAAAATTGAGGGTATAAATTTATTCTTTGGACTAATGGCTCCTTTGACTATATTCAGAGCAGCTTGGGCAATAAAGGCGTAGTAGAAGTTTTGGCCGAGTTCTTCAAGTAGTTTGATCAATTTTTGACTAGCTAACTGCTTATTCTCCTCAGTCTCCTTTGAAATATAGCTCTTCTTGATCAAATAACTCTTAACAGTCTCTATAGGATTGATAATATCATTAATAATAGTGATAGAATCATGATTCTCCTCATGGCATTCCGACTGTTGAGGGTGAAGACTATCCAGATGAGTATCTTCCCCGTTTTGTTCAAGATGGGAGTGATCTCCAATCATCGATCCTCCTTCTGTGGATATTTCCCAGTGACTTCCTGGAGCATGGTGGCTTGCATACCCTCAGATCTCTTTGCCATTAACTGCCAGTAAATTGTTGGTCATATTCGACATTCTTAATATTTATTATCAATCCCCTTAAAGTGTTAGGGGTTTTGGGGTTTTGGGGTTTTGGGGTTTTGGGGTTTTGGGGTTTTGGGG